AGGAAAGCAAAGATCTTTGTTAGCTTCAGAAGATGATTTTGCCGTAGCTATACACTGTATGAGGTAGCCTGTCCTAATCCTCCAAGCGCCTGCCAGTGACACACTTCTTGACATCACCTCTGTACTCTGTCCTGCACCCAAAGCCCAGGTGGCTGAATCTCAGGAAACTAAGCAATTCCAACAGTTTGGGGTCCTCCAAAGTTTTTGACGGAGTAAGAGTTGGACAGATGTAGTCATGCTGGGGAAACGGAACAAAAAATCCCCCCTCTTCACACACGTAGCATGACAACCACCCCCATTTCTGATTCTTTACACAAACTTTATTAAACAAACCTAAAACAAGGACAAGCAGGTTTTTTCCTTCACTCTGTTTTGAGCTGCTGAAGCCATCACAGCTACAGCTAGTGTCACCATGTCTCTCTGTTACTCCTCAGTCACTTGCCCGTTTATGTCCGTCTTCAAGCTCCAGCCATTCAAGAAATACGTTTTCCAAACTGGTGAAATATGACTAGTAAACGATGGTAACCGCCAGTTGCTGTTGCCCCCCCCCCCCCAAATACTTTTTTAACACTTTCCTAGCTAAGCTTGAGTCAATGCTGACGAACTCTCTATTTATTCAAAACTACTTATTAAATATTTCATGAGCTTAAAGTCACCATTCAGATGATATTACACAGCAAAGTGAACACAGCATCAACGCTATTTCACTGAGAGCATCTTCCTCTACAGAATACCTCAGCTGCACGGGCTTTAAAAATGCACTCACTACAGTTGCAGTTTGAATCCTTTTTTCTAAGGAAAACAAAACATGCAAGTACATATATTACTGTAACTTTATAGCCATGCTCTACTAAAAACGTCACTCTGGCCAAGAATGCAGAGTCATGTTTGAACTTTTCCAGTTAAAAGCGGGCAGGGCCCATGTAACAGGCTAATCTGGGACTAAGGCAAAGCCAGAAAGTAGAGGGCTAATCTACACTGCAGAAGCTGGGTCAGCTCAGTTACACCAACAACTCCTGATGGAGCTGAGACTCCTAACAAGAAAAATTCTATGCGTACAGTTAAACCGTTTCCTTAGATGACATACATTGTACTAGCAAAAGGATGGGTTTTTTTAATTAATTATAATTATGTCTTCCCCTGGTCTAAATTGCAGCTACTCACCAGCTGTCAATAAAGCTTTGTTCACTAGCTGTAGAAACAACTCCTAATATAACATATTGATACCAGAAAAACAGCTTAGCCTACAGAATGACAAAGACCTAGTTCTTAATTTTTTCACCTTATACAGCGTACACAAAAAGCGGCTGACACACCATGGTTGCCCTTCACCTCTAGGACAGCCAGGCCTATTCACAACAAAAATGTGAAAGCTCCGATCTGCCTGGGGGCTGGCCACTCGCCTGTCACAAATGTACCCCAGCAGCCTGCCTGTGGCAAGGAATCCAGGGTGAGAAAAGGCAGAGGCATTCCCCAGCCACTGCTGTACCAGTACATTGGGGTTTTTTCTGGGGATCACTTTTACGTGCCTTGTGCTTCCAATACTGTGTGAAAGACAGGTGAGATTTGAACTGCGTGAAAAATTCTAACAGGGAGGGAGGATATCCTCGGATGAAAAGGTTGGAGACTATCAGAGGTACAATATTTACTCATCTAGTGAGAAGCTACTGCAGCTGTCACGCTTCCCACCGAGCCTTCTCACCAACATAAATCAGAAGTGGAAGTGTTAGGAGTGGCAGCTGTGCTAATACAATGGATTTACAGCATTGATATAAACTGGCGTTTTACTACGGTAGTACCAGTATGGAAGCGGTGCCCCACACCTTCAGGGAAGGGTTCCTGCCCGCTGTCTAGGACGCACGCTCCCAGCTCCCCGCGGCTTTGGCAGAGCCGGCAACCATCCTGCGGGAGCGGGTCAGCAGCGCCCCAGAGAGCAGTGAGCAAAGAGCTCTTCAGAACAGGGACTCTGCTCTCTGATCTTTCAAAAATGCTGAGAAGTTTGAAAAGTGACTGAAAATCTCAGGAGTTTGAGGCAATTAACATCACTAGAGCTGTTAAGGTTTTGACTGTAACAACGAAAATCTACTATTTCATTCCAGATTTCAACTGAACTGTTCCAAAAAGACACACTTGTAGGACTTGGGTCTGGACCAGGTTCCCCCCACTGCTCGAGTGAATTCTTACTCAGGTTAGCAGGCACCTTCGTCATCCTATAAACACTTAAATCATCAGCAGTATGCTCATTTACAATGCAAAATATGATCTTACCAGACAAAATTCTACCTTTAATCTGGGTACATGCAGACCAAAGCAAAACCAAAAACCTAGGGACTGATCCTATCATCAACAGCAACACAACTGAGAATGCTCTCAGGTGTGTAGCAATGTCTGAATCAGTCTGAACAGTCCTTTCAAAAAAGTCATAAAACTAGGAAAGGAGTCCTAAAAAAGTACCTCAATGAATTTGGGGGGGCGAAGGGGGGAAATCAGCATATAAAGTCTAAAAGCACAGTAACACCACTTAATGAGACAAGGATACATTTTAATTACAATTTCAGCTGCATGGATTATAACTATGGTTTAAAAAAGAAACACCTCATGAGATGAGACAGAATGTGAATTTTAGATTCACATCATAAGTCCTGTGTCCAAAATGCAACAGATGAACTGCTTATTGCTCCCTGCAACACAGATGACATGTCTCAGGTGTAAGCATCAAAGGTGTGAAGTTTGGCAGCGTTAAACTCAACACAGAAATCTTTTTACAGATTTAGGTGGCCCTTGAATCAGACATGACACTTTTAAATTAAGAGTTGCATTATTGCTGGGTTAAAGTATTGCGGTCAAGCAAAGGTGCTTTAAAGCTGAATTTTGAGCTATTAATAAAAAAAAAAAAATGTAACAAAGTTAATTTTTCTCCAATTTCAGAGATAGCACAGAGGAGAATCCCACACAAATGCCGACACACAAGTACTCAAGTGCAACACAGAAGAGAAAAAACAGGCCACAAAGCCTGCCAGACATCTGCCACAAACACACGGGTTTTCCTAAGGAGCCCACTCAATTTAATTAAAAATTATATCACTTTCACCATCTTCCATGAGAATGAGACAAATCATCCACCACTAAGCGACTTGAGTTCAAATGCCCATCTACTCTCCTTACTTTGTATTTAGTTTGCAGAGCTGAAATGCAAGTGAAATGTACAGGGAAAAAATTTGCCAAGTAGACTGTTAAATACCCTCTATAAACTTATGCGATGCGCTCACAGAGCAAAGCTCAGAGGGCTGTTAAAAACACGTGCGTCCCTTGTAGTTCAGCACATCACAGGTACCCGAGGCGGGTCCTGAAGATGCCGTTCTGATCAGCTGCTTTATTCAAAGTACTGCAGCAGCAGCAAACAGACTATCAGCTTTCAGCCCCGCTAAAATTAAAAATAAGTTGTTGGGTTTTGAGGTTGGCTTTTTTTAGGACCTAACTAGCTAGTTTTCAAGTGCAGCTTAACTTGGATAAATAGATGAATATTCATGAGCTATACCATCCAAAGGGACTCATGCTGTGTCTATCAAGGCTGCCATTAACTTCAGTGGGAGACAGCAGAGTCAGGCTAGTCCTGGTCTAGCCCTTGATCAATTAGGTCCTGTAAAAATAACAATAGCCTGGGATGACTGCAATCATCTGCTGATCTACAAATCAGACAAGAAACAAGACTCCTCCTCCCTCTCTCTCAGAACCCTTGCTGTCAAGACACTAAATTAAGAGACTTTGGGCCTTTTTTCCGTAGCGCATCTTATTTAATGACCGTGGAAACATCATCCCAGCTACAGCTACCCTATGAGATTGCTTAGATAAGTACCTTAGAAAAGGTAATAATAATAACCTGGACCTAACTCAAATCGTTGACATTGCAGTATATGCTGTTCCTAAGGAACAACAGAAAGCATACTTGCCGGTAGCAGGAGCAGGCCCCCAGGGCAGGGGGTGCAAAGGAATCCCCTTTAACTATTGCCGGCCAAGGATCTCACTACAAGGTTCACAACAACAACAACAAAGTTTCTTTCCGAAGACGGGTTTGTCCGCGCCACTGCTCCAGTTAGCAGATGTCACCTTACAACAAGGTGCGGATCCAGACCGTGCCCAGACCCATTCTCCAACAGGGAGAAATCCCGTTCAAGCCCAACGCAGGGCTCACCCAGGGACTTCCCGGCCTCTTGCCGAAGACAGCCTCCCTGCTCCACACCAACAACGCTGAGTTAAGAACTTCTGAAGGACCGACAATTTTTTCACGTATCCACAGTGTCCGTTGGCGCATTTATTTGTGCAGTTCTATAAGCACCCATGAATTCTACAGCACGCCCTGGATTTGGGTAGAACAAGGGCTGGCTACAGCCGCCTTCCCTCCGCACTCCACCGCAGCCGACTCTGCCATGGTGCAAAGTTGCGGATTTGATTTTCACGGAAGACTGCCATGTCCCCCCCTTAAAAAGCCGAGTTAAAAATACACAGGTCAAGAAACTCGTCCACCTGAGCAGACAACAAGCCAACCCAAGCTTTCCACGTTTGCACTCCGAATCACCCTTTTTGACAAGCAAACTCGTAACCTCCCATCTGACAGGTCAGCCGAGGCGCGCCCAGGACCGTTTCGCACAGACCAGCCCCCCGGAGCCCCACGCTCCCCTTGCCGGGGCACCCAAGACCGTTCTATAAGTGACACCGGGAGAGAAGCCAGGGGGACGTGGGGCAGCACCCCC